ATGGGCCGTAATTAGGTTTGGCTTCAAGATTTGTTGAATCTGCTGTAGCTGAAGTTTAAGTCTCACAGGGGTTTTGGCCAGTTAGTATTTGTTTTGACCCCACTGCTGACAAGACAGTTTAATTTTATTACTTTATTACAACTTTGAGTTTATTTATTATACCTTTAAATTATTTTAACTGTGAAAAAAAATTCCAGACACATAATTTTTGCTTTAGTAGCTAGCTGTTCCCTGGGAATATGGACAAGAACACATAGTAATATTGGACCTTAAAATTTTAAAACTGATTTTCCAGGAAGACTTGGAATGATAATGATTTGCCTTGTCCACATTTAAGAATGTACCTATAGGAGGAGGTAGAGAGAAGGCTTTGTGTCTTTTCCTAATGGATGCATAATTTAGAATAAGGTTAAAAATGTAAGATAAGAAGAACGATACGGTTCCAGGGATTAGAATTCTAACAGGAAAATATTAATCATCTATTCATTTGACAGCTACTTACTGGATATTTATTAAATGCTCAGTGCTGCACTAGGCAATGAAAGCACAAAAATAAATGAAACAATTTTACTTTTTAGCATATAAATGATGATACTCAGGTAATCTTTTAGCAAAGCGAACTGTAAAGACAAGAGAGTATTTTTTGAATAATCTACTTCAGAACCTATTTTCTTACCTATTGTCCTATATACTGATAAACAAAAATGAGCATATTATAAACAGCAATTTATTTCTAGTCTTTTTCTCATTTCCCTTTAACATTAAATTTGGGTGCTAAATTGAAGACAAACATCATTGAAATTTATGTTCTGAACCCAACACAACTCAAATAAGTTACTTGGGCTTTCTTTCTCTTTGTTTCTTGAGGTTGGTAGCAAATCATGGCAGTTTCTTTGATCAAAATACTGTTATGCAGGTCCAGCTCTGAGACTTTGCGGCAGCTCAGAGAATCCTGTATTAATTGCATGCTGTTTTGGACTTTGCATTTCCCTTTACAATCTGTGGACAGTGATTGGGAGAGGCCAATAAAGTAGGGCTGAGTCAGGAAGAAGAAGGAAGCTGAGACGAAAAGCATGGATGAATTTGATAGGTCATGGTGATAATATGCTTCAGAGATTGATGAAATAACCTACCCTTAAACTCTTGCTTCATAAAGCCTAATTGGAAACCTCTACATTAGAGTTAAACATCTGGATCAAAAGTTCCTATGTGTCCTTGGTTCTTCCTCTTTCCTTTTTATACTTTTATTGATTTTTTCCCATTCCATTTGAATGTGCTTGGTAGCCTTCAAATTGGGATATCTCACACTTAGACTTTGCCCGTTTGTTTAAGTTATCATCATCATCATCATTTTATGATAAAATTCCATAGGCTCTGGGATTTGCTTTATCCCCTCCTCAAAATCTTCCCCCTACTGAGTTCCCCTATATTATTACAATAGAATAGTTATTCATAGTCGTAAGTCCATCATTGCTGGCATGGACAAGGCAGAGAGTCCAATAACTTTTGTCAAGATGTATTTCACAGTTTCATTGAGATTCCATCTTTGATCTGGAAGTACAGCAGATGAATACTGCATTGTAAATGAAAAGCCACAAAACAAAATCAACAACAGGAAGAAAAACAGAAGTTTACAATGCCATGAAGTTAAACAACATGCTACTGACTATGGTAGTCTCTTATACATTTACTATACATACTCTTAAATGAAAACCCATGAAATAAAATAAAAAATGGAAGAAAAAATGACAGTTATAATGCTATGAAGTTAAATAACATGTTACTGAATGACTAATGTGTCACTGAAGAAATGAAAAAAAAATCAAGAACCTTCTTGAAGAAAATGATGCTACTGTATGATCTATGAGTCAGTAAAGAATTTAATAAAAAGTGTTTTGAAGAGATGAAACTTAAAAAAAAATCAGAATCCATGAGATATAGTTTCTGCTGATCTTTGTTGGTAAGATATGGCTTCTGTAGACAACAAATAGCTGTTTTTTTTTTTTTAACCCTGAATGTAAATGGCTTAAATTCATCAATCAAATGTTACAGAGTAGTAGACTGGATTAAAAAAAAACAAGAGTTTACCCTTTTTAAAATGTCTGTATACCCACAAGGGAAGAATTCTTATTACTCTTAGATTGTTCGTAGTCAATGATTTTTGTTTCGTAACAATCAACAACATACATTGCTATTAGCAGATACTCAAAGTAGACAATTACAAAAACATCACGAAGGGAGAAATTTATTTTTAACCTAATGTTTTTGAAAGAGCAGTCATGATATACATATATATTTGTGTGTGTGCACACATATATATGCATATTTGCCAAGAATTACGTGATATTGGTGATTTATTTATTGATTTATTTCCTGCAGTGAGTTTCCTAATGACATTTAACCTTCGTCACATTTAACCTCAACATTTGACCTTTGTGATATTTAGCCTTGATGAGAAGGCAGAGCAAAGATCCAGGGCACGCAGGTATTAGCTTGTATTAGCTTCTGTGCTCTCTTCCGTCTGCCTTCACCAGCAGGGCAGATGCATACCCAAGCCTGGCAGAGCCAGCGGGCTACCTTTGTCACAGTAGGTAACAAAGGAGGAGCAGATGCCTCTTGTAGTGACGAAAGATAATATTTTGAGTTGAAAGATAAATAATTGAAATTCCCAGTCTCTAGTCTTTATTTACTTCTTGTTTTTTGAAAAAAAATCACTCTGCATTTGTTTTCAGGGTCAGCGTCTCAGGATTCTGTCAAAAAATGCTAAAATGAGCAAAAGTTTAGCAGAGTGATCCCACATTGTCTCTATTCCAAACTGCAGTTTTTTATTTATACTGTTCTTCAGTTTACCTTCCTAACTTAAGCAAAATAAGTATCTGTTTCTTTCTACTCTTAGTTCACTTATGTGCTCTTTTTTTTTTTTTTTGAGAGAACAGATTGTCTTGAGACAGTGCCTTTAGTCATGGAAGAAAAAACAAAGTGGAATTTTCAGGAAAATATATAAATAAAAGGAAAACAATAAAAAGAAAATAAAATACACACACACAATATATAATTAGATGGAGATGAAGTGTAGGGGAGACCAATGTCACAGTGCACCACACTAGAATGGTCTTTGTCTACTGCTGCTCATCCTGGATTCATTCGTGAGATAGCTGCTCTCATCTGGTTCTCCAGCAATGAATTTTTAAATTTTTTTATTATTTTCCATGATACAGTTTTGTAAGTATAGGAACTCTCCCCTCCTCTTCCCTGTTGTCCCCCTGCCACCTTTTCCTCCCAAATTCTTTTCTTTTTCTTTTTTTTTATTATTAGTAAGTCAGATATATAGAGAGGAGGAGAGACAGAGAGGAAGATCTTCCATCCACTGATTCACTCCCCAAGTGGCCACAATAGCCAGAGCTGAGCCAATCTGAAGCCAGGAGCCCAGAGCTTCTTCTGTGTCTCCCACATGGTTCAGAGTCCCAAGGCTTTGGGCCATCCTTGACTGCTTTTTCAGGCCACAAGCAGGGAGGTGGAAGGGAAGTGGGGCTGCTGGGATTAGAATCAGCCTCCATATGGGATCCTGGTGCGTGCAAGTTGAGGACTTCAGCCACTGTGCCGGGCCCTTTCTTCCACATTCTTACAGTAGTATTGTCTTTTAGTAACGGTTACAAGTTTAGTGTTCTATTTATGTGCAACATGGTATTACAGGTATAGACAAAGATAGGAAGTATAGTATCATATTGTCAGTCAATGAATTTGTACAACTAGCACCAAGATTCTATCACTCCTAGGTAGCAGTGCCTTTTTTCACAACAGAAACTTGGAGAATGCTTGCCATTGGCCAGCAGCACCAATCTGGCTCTTCTTATGAAGTGTTTCCTAGAGCAGAAATTCCACTGCAGGGATAGTGTGAACTCTTGAATTGAGGAGTTAAAGAAAAATTGCCTCTGGCCTGTTAGTTGGTGATCTGCTTGGGAGCCTGTGTCATTTACATTCCTAATCAAAGCTCAAACCCAGGGAAATGTTTGTATGAAAAGCCTCACAAGAACCAGTTTCTGGATTCCATTTGCTCAGAAGAAATTTCATGTGCAAATCCCTAATTCAGATGTGTGACCCACTTTTCATTAACTCTTCCCCAAGAGGGTTGGCAAGAAATTATCTGCCTTCAATGCAAGGAGACTGACTTGCCTAGATTGTTGATTTGCAGCTTAGTGAGCTGCATGAGAGAAGTCCGGATCTAAACAATACGATGAATAATGTGTAGGTAAGTGGGGATGGTGATAGACTGCATGAGGGAATTCAACGATGATCAAAATTCATGTTCAGGGAAGTAGGGAACAAGAACACTGAAAGATTAGCTGCCTTGTTGGCTATAATAATATGCTTTACTGGGGGAAGTTGCATTAGTAGGAGGAAATGAGACATGGAGTTCAAGACTAAGAAAAAAGTGGAAATAAAAAATAGGGGTAATAAGCATCAGGAAGATAGTTGAGGTGTGAGGGATAAATTAGATCAGTGCGCGAGAACATAGAATGAAAAGAAAGGCTGAGTTGATCCCATGTCTACAACCATCCATGACTACTGGAAAGTCCATGTGTGCTCTGTGCTGACCTATTCACAATATGGTGCATGACAGCCTCTTCAGAGCCTGTGGTTTCACCAGCATCAACCTTCCACAGAATAACTTATTAACTTGCCGGGTATCTTCCCATCCATCATAAGCCAAAACATGTCCCCCGGCAAATTCAAGTCCTCACAAGCAAATGAACAATGAGACAACCAGTAAAAGATGTTAACCAACATTTCCTTCTCTCCAAGGCCCTACAAAAGACCTCAGCTAATAATAATAATATGAACAAGACAGAAGCAGAGAGTCCATGATGTCCTCTGCAAAGGAATCCATGTCCTACGAATGTACATGAAATTCCTTTACCTCAAAGTTCACTGCCCAAGCCCTCTTCACCCCCTCAGTTTTAGCATAGAGAATGGAAGGCAGATTTCCAGGGAAAACTCACCCTGGGGTCTCTTTCCAGCTGTTGCTTGTGATGTAGGCTGCGTCTTCTCTTGGCCTTTGCAAGACCATTGTGATAGAAGTGGTATAGACCTTCAGTGAAGGGGAGCTGTGGAGAATCAGACACAAGGTATGATTAATTTCTGGGGCTGCACCAGGCACAGGGGCAACTAAGCTGGGTCTGCACAGGATTAAACTCCTGCATATTTGGCCCTCTGATTACCTAGCAGAGTACTTTTTTTCTTCTTGCTTGCTTACTGGTTCTCATCTTCTATTTATTCCCTCATTTTTAGTTTCTACACACCCTTTGAGTACTGCATCTTTTCTCTGAACTCTTATGTTTATATCCATGTTAATATGGCATTGTCCACTCTTTTCTCTTCGACTAGTATTTGATTACTAAAGAATTATTCTGCTGGGCCCAGCGCAATAGCATAGTTGTTAAAGTCCTCACTTTGCATGCGCCAGGATCCCATATGGGCGCTGGCTCTAATCTCGGTGGCCCTGTTTCCCATCCAGCTCCCTGCTTGTGGCCTGGAACAGCAGTCAAGGATGTCCCAAATCCTTTGTACCCTGCACCCGCATGGGGGACCTGGAAGAGCTCCTGACTCTTTCATGCCAGGAGATGAAGTCCGTGATGCCAAGTGCTACTCTGGTGGGAGAAAAGCAGCTAATAGCTGGTAGGCATCCTGGACCTGCTTTAACACCAAATTTATGTTAAATATACCAGTGTATCATCCTAGTTGCCAATTCTATTCTTTTTTTTTTTTTAAGATATGTTGGTGGTTAAGGGCAGATACTGGCACAACAGTAAATTGGGTCTGGGGCCACAGGTAGGCACATAGGACACCAGGGTGGCACAGCACACTGCTGGAGGACTGGGTTTCAGATCTGTGCATTTGAGTGCATGGGGTTTGTGGATTGCTCAGGGAAGGAGGTCTGGGGATTTGTAGGAGGGAGGATTGCTGAGGGAAAATGTGACAGGTGAGGAATGATTTCCAACAACCAGGCTACTGCACTTACAGATAAATGAAAAGGCAAGACCGGGTGGTTTGGAGGAGGAAAACTGGAGGGCCTTTCAGGGCCAAACCAATATACCCACCTATACAGGAGATCTTAGCTGGGCTTGTTAGTACCAACCACACATGCAAGCCATTGCTGGGGAACCTGTCTGGCAAGGCTCTATTATAGTATCTGCCAGTAAGTGTTGGAGCAGGGTAGGATCATGTCAGTCTGGGCCATACGCAGCATGCAGTAGAGCTGGGTCTGGGAGCAGATTCTCTGGGGAATTGTGGGCTTACCCCTGTGGGACTGCAACTCCATCTGGCTTGCTCAAGGGCTGGGAGTTGTGACTGTTCAAGCTAATCATGACCATGGAACTCATCATCATTCATAGGTACTAGGGTTGGAAACAGGCTGGGCTGGAACAGGCTGCAGCACCCACAGGTGCATCTAACAATTGGGTGTGGGGCAGCCAGGCTGCAAAATCCACCAGCACCCACAAAGGCTGACATTGGGGGTTAGACTGTGTCAGGTAAGGGCCTAACCAACTGCTGGCACATATGAAATCTGGGTATGGGAGTGGGTCTGGTGAGGGAAACGTGGGGAACTCACCTGGTGGGCCATAGCTCCCACTGGTGAGCATGTAAGTCAGCTGGGTATTGGTCAGGCAAGGAAGGACTGCCTCACTCCTTGACAGGTGTGCGGGTTGGCTCTTGAGGGGTGGATTGGTCAGAATGAGGTCAAATTGGCACACACTGACATGTGCAAGAGCCAGGATGGGGTGCAGGCTCTGCTGCACCAGGTGAGGCTATCACACCTACTGGTTTGTATGAAAGGCAAGAATGGGCAGGTGGGGCAGGGGTAGGCTACAGCACTCACTGACAAAAGTTGGGACTAGGGGAAAACCAGGCTTTATCATCTATGCAAAGGTCAAGCTGGGTGATGGGTCATGCCAGGAAGAATTGGAGCAATCACGAGCATGAGCAAGATCTGTGACTGGGAGCCAGCTTGGTCAGGGAGCTAAGAAGACAGCCCAGCTGGACTGCAGTTCCCATTAGTGAGTGACAGAGTTGCAATGGGGATGGTGAACTGGGCTGGACATGGCTGCAGTATCCTTCGGCATGGGTGTGGACTGGGTCTAGGGTGTGCCAGACTCTGCTAGGTTCCAGTACCTACTGGTGCTTATGAGAGCCAGGGTAGGTATAGGACAGGCTGGGCTAGGTCTTGGCTCCTGCTGAATCACGGGAGAGCTGGGTCTGTGGGCGGACCACGTGTGTCTGGGCTGTAGCACCCAGCAGTAAGATATGGAATGGGTGTGGGTTGATTGGGTAAGGCCACTGTACCTGCCAAGACAGGAGGTGGGCCAACTCAGACTAGGCCAAGCAACATCTTGTGTGTGCAACATGTGTCTCTAGGTGGTGACCTGATATAAGAGCTTGGAGAATTGCAAATAAATCTGCCATATGACCCAGCTATCCTGCTCCTAGGAATATACCCAATAGAAATGAAATCTGCATATGAGAAGGAGATATGTAATCCTGTATTTGCAGCAGCACAATCCACAATAGCAAAGACGTGCATCCAAAGAAGAGTGGTTAAAGAAATTGTGGTACATCTACTCCATGGAGTATTATTCAGCTATTAAGAAGAATGAAATTATGCTATTTACAACTAGGTGGTCCCAACTAGAGAGCATTATGCTCAGTGAAATGAGTCAATCACAAAAGAACAAATACCATATGTTCTCTCTTATATAAGGAAACCAGCATGGAAAGTGTAACTTCAATAATCTGATCCATACTTTTTTTTTTTTTTGGCTGCATCCCATGTGTTTTGATGTTTTTATTTCAGTTTTATTTATTCCAAATACTTTCTTTTCTCTTGTCAAATTCATTGCTGTCTCATGGATTACATGGTGGCATCATTTTTCCCAAGAGACTTTTGTATTTCCTTTTTGTCACCCATGTGTTGGTTACTCAGTGGTGCATTTTTTCATGGTGCTGTAATTCATTGTTGTTGTTGTTGTTGTTGTTGTTGTTGTTGTGGAGGCTGTTGTTCTAACTCATACCAGTTGTTGACCTTGTTTCATGGCTTCTCAATTATGGAAATATATAATGATGGAGTACTGGGGTCTATCATATACAGATGTGGGGGTATAATGCAACATGCATCCCTGCTTCCAGATAAAAGATGGATTCCCAATGAAACTGTTGGACATGTGTAGACAATGGGATGCTAGATTGTCTGACATTGTAGCAGAATGTTGGCATTCTGCCTGTGCCCTGTGTGAATTTCTCCTCCCTAAACTTGATAAGCAGGATAAAAATTTTATTCTGTAATTGATTCATTGCTCAGCAATGTATAATAAGGAAAAACTAGTTGCCTAAAAACATGTTAGTGTCTCAGTTTTGACAGATGTACCAGCTGTAAACTCTGTAACGGTATGAGTTCTGTCTGTCAGTTTGTGAAGGCAGCCTGGGTCAGCTAAACTAGAGGCAGTCCAGGGACAACCCTAGTGCACTGGAAAGGACCTGCAGTCAGCAGGTACCAAGTGGACTTCAAAGGCACAGCCAAGATAGCTAAGGGAATAGTGTGTGGATGAAAAGTCATTTAGAAAATTGTAGCTTTTGTGATTTAGGTGCTCTTCATGAAAAAGCAAAGCCTCTAGAGAACATTTAGTGCAAGTATTTTATGTAAATTTTCCAGGTTCAGTGATTCTTAAATGTTTTCCCTATTTAACTCACTGATACACTTAGGACAATATTAAAATGTAATAAAAGAAACAAAAAGATTTGATAAAAAAAGAAAAAGTGGTGGAAGGGAAAGAAAACAGATGAGCAGCCCTCTGCAGTCTTCTTTCAGGTGGTTTGGAGGGCATGATAAATCTAATATTTTTTTTATTTATTTTAAAAAAGATTTATTTGTGCTTACTGGAAAGGCAGATTCAGAGAGAGAGAGAGAAAGAAAGATAAAGAACTTCCATCCACCGGTTCACTCCCTGAGTGACTGCAATGGTCAGAGTTGAGCTGATTCAAAGCCAGGAGCTTCTTCCAGGTCTCCCACTAGGGCTTAGGGTCCCAAGACTTTGGGCTGTCCTCAACTGCTTTCCCAGGCCACAAGCAGGGACCTGAATGGGAAGTGGAGCAGCTGTGACACAAACTGGTGCCCATATGGGATCCTAGCACTTGCAAAGCAGAGAATCGGCCAATTGAGTCATTGCACCAGGCCTAAATCCAAAAATTTTAATGCTAGAGGGGATCTTTGGGGTATTAAATGCCAGTGGGTATTTGAGGGACCCATTTGACCACTATTTTGGTTTTGTTTAGTTGATATTTTATACATTAAGTTTGGATGAAGGAAAAGTGAAAACTCTTCCTTATAGTTGAATTCCAATTAATAAGTATAGAAGTAAAGGTAAAAATTGGCTATATTCAGTTATGAAGAAGTGTAATAGTACTGGTGGCTGGCAAACCATACCAGTGGATGCTAACGTAGGATTTTATCTGTACGGTGGATAAGCCTGGTAGAGATTGATTTAATCAAGTGATCTAATGGTGGGATGTGCCAAGTTTGAATGCCTCAAGATAAGATGCACTCAGAAGGATACAGCATCCCTGATATGGTTTTGTTGCCAAAATAAAGCAATATGTATTCATTCAGGCAGAAGCATTAAGTAAACTGTTAACTTTCTGGTACTCTTTAGAGTCATTGTGTTCAAAAAATAGAAAAAAGGGACTATAGAACTTTTCCCAACTAGAGGAGACAAAGAAGCTATGATCATTAAATATGTAAAATGTACATCCTGGATGATCCCTATATCAATAAGAGGGCATTGTTAGGACAATTGGAAAATTTAGAATAAGATACACAAATGAGTTAATAGCCTTATGTCTCTGTTTTCTATTTTTTGTAATTGCACTATTGTTATACAGTATGCTAACTTAGAGAAGCTTGAATGAAGGACATATGGAAACTTGTGTCTTATTTTTAAAGGATTTTTATTATGATATAATGTATATACTTCTTAATCTTGTTTAAATGTATAGTTCAGTGGTATTAAGTAGTGTCCAGCTAACACCACGATCCATATATAGACTTTTTCATCAT